AAGAAATTAAAGGGAAAGCTAGTATAGTAAAGGCCTTACAAGAATTTGAATGAGAATTACTGTATCTTAAAAGGACAACTTACGTGTGACTCATTGATGTTGTCTTGACTTTCGGATATACCACTTCTCCGATAGTAAATATGCCGCCTCCTTTAGAGCCATCCAGGCAATGTGAAAAAATCTTTTTAACCTTTTTGGCAGATGCAAGCTGTGAAAGCATAGAAGAATCTGCCTGCCCAAACCCAAGCATTCCGTCTAGTGGTTGTTCTGATGAACCCAACTCTCCAGATTGTTGAGATCCATACCTATCATGTATAATGGAACAAATGGCGATCGGTAAGATCATATGCTAATAAACATAAGCTATGCAGTTCTAATCTTTAAACTTCGTAGAAACACACTACATATGGGAAGTGTAGACTTGCCCGAATGCTATACTCCCATTCATAGATGTTGTTTGAAGGTCTCCAGAAACTCGATCAAGTTGTACAATATCTCTCACAAAATATCCTGTCGCTGAGCTTCCATCACCATAATTAACAGAATAAGAACAGCGGGTTCCGACCTTACAGTTACCAGTGGCACCCTTCAGTATGGAACTACAAATTCCTTGATCACAACTAACAATTTTTGCAGTTGTGGAAGCCTTTGGATCATACAATGGACGTGATGCCTGGGAATAGTAATGGTACAAGATGTTACTTCGGAAAGAAAGAGAACAAAGATCAAAAGAATGAACTGAATGTAAATTAACTAACTAAACTCATGCTTTAAGTACATGGAATTAAAAGTTTATAAAAGCTCCAAGTAAGAAAAAGAACATACTCCATGGTCACTTTTCCTAGGACATTTTTGACATCCAGCACCATTTACCCATAGAAGGTCACTCCCTGTATCAACCTGCACCATATAGTCCTTTCCGGGAGTCCCTATCCGTATCTTAGAAAAATAAAGGCTACATAAAGACACAAACAAACAATATAAACTTTCATGGCATGAATGCTATACTATATTATATTAT